AAAAAAAATACTACCGTATTCGTTGAACTCTTTTCCGTAAATCATTGACACTTTGATATAGCTTTTAATCTCATTGAAATAGTCTGGAGTGTTAGCGATACGGTCAGTCGACCGTAATAGTGGAGCGCCCGGTTCTTTTACCTGCACCGGGGCGCACCGCTGTCTTCAATAGGTTACTACTACATTAATATGAAATGCATCACCCTACCGATAGACTTAGTTTACGGACAAGAGTTTAACGAATACTTTAGTATTAACGAATACTTTAGTATTAACGAATACTTTAGTATTTAGAATAGTACTTTTTTTGGATTTACCTGCACCGCGCACTGTCAGGAGTTGGCGAAAGATTGTTAAAAAAAGGGATTATTCTGGAATTCAATGATATAGCTACATTCAATATCAAAACAAACACAATATTACAAATTATATGATTTTTATATTTCTAATAATTTCCGAGATATTTGACAGAATACTATAAAAAAAAGATACGTATGAAATGTTTTCATGAGAACTACAATTTCACAAAGTTGTAATAAAATTGTCGATTGTCAATTCTGTTGTGAGTTCATGGTTGCTACGAGGCCGAAGATTTTAAGCCATAAATAACCGAAAATTCCACTTCGGCCTCTACAAGGGTGGTCGTCCAGGACCAAGCAGCGTCAACTGACACGTGTCGGTAAATTTTTTTCCTTGCTCCTCGAGATAGACAACGTACACTGTACTTTCCAACTCGAAGCAAGGGATACGTTGATGGTCCTCTTCATTTCGGACATTTTTAAGCCGATGCACGTGATGTCTGTTTTCTATCTCGAAGGAGTAGGTACCCTGGCAATAAATTAACGGGCTACGGCGCCTTGGAGAAACTGCGCGACGGTCCTTCCCTTGCACTTCTGCAAAGCACGTGTTATCCTAGAACCGTTGGTTTCTTTCTACCTAAATCTTGTCATGGTGGGAGTGAACTCACAATGTAACGATAGGAAACTACTTGGGGGTAGAGAAAAAATTCTGTCAGTCGGTTAGCAATCGGGAGACAGAGATGTTCAGTTCACGGGAGTATTACGCAATGTTATGGTGGTACGTACACAATAACGGATATCCGGGTGTTGCTGTGCAAGTGCTTGGTACGTAAAACATCTGAAAAATTGAAAACAATCGGCCCTTTCCGAGGCCACGAATTTTCCTAACGTCGGAACAACACGTTGGATTAAAAATACATTAAGTGATTGCGTCGGGTGATCAGTGTTAGTGGTCGTGCAGTGAAGCGAGTACGTATTCTGTGGAATAACCAGGACGCACTTGACGTTACAACCCTTAACTTCGGCTGGTGAGGTATACCTGCGATCACCTGCGAACTGGGCGATACCCTGCCATAAACCGTTTCGGCCGTCGATGACCAGGATCGGTTCAGTGACCTAGTGACACAGGTTTGCATACTGCAGGTGAATTTCTGAAAGGGTGAATTCTAATCAATTTATTGTTGATTACTATTCTTTTAATTGAACGCAAGCTATGGCTTATTTCCAGCAATAATTCTGCAAGTTTCTGCACCTAACTGACAAAATTCTGACCTAGTGACACAGGTTTGCAAACTGCAGGTGAATTTCCGAAAGGGTGAGTTCTATTCAGTTTATTGGTCATTATTGTTTTATTAATTTCACCGAACTACAATCACTTCTCGTTTATTCTCTGTTACATTACATTATCGTTCACACGTTATTTGAAAAGGAAATTTACAAATTCGTAAAAAGGAATTTACAAAAATGTAAATGTGCATTCGTCTTTTTACGTTACACATAATTTGCCTACATTTACGTTTCATTCATTGATCTCTTTAAATAACAACGACAGATGATAAAAAGTATGATTTTATTTGTTACGTCTTGTTTATTTGCTATTATTATACGCGGTTTCCTGCGATGCATGGTGACCTACTTGTTCGGAGTTTCGCAGGACAAGCGTAGCGCGTAGCCACTGCTAGCGCGGGAACTCGGCTGGCAAACTCGCGCTCTGATTGGTCGCGGTTTTTCGTTAATATCTCGGTAACGAAGCCTCAGTTTACATTGTTGCTAAGGAAAAAGTTGTTCCAATTCACCCCCCGAGTGCCCCATTTCCGGTCGGAGGAAATTTTTGGGACACCCTGTATATTGCAAATTGTAAAAGTTTAAATTTTCATTCGTGCGTCATTCCGTATCTCATCTACGTCTGTTTACATTGTATGCCGACGGTCGGTCGCTGGCCTTGGACGTTCGGCGAGAATCCAAATCTCACCACGAGCCGTAGGTCGTAGCTATTCCATCGTTCTCCTCACGGGCAGAATTGCATGCGGGACATGAGGCAACAGCGTCAGAAAAATGATACTGTCCGGCAACACTGTCTTCGCGTAACAAATACACAAACCCAACTTGATGGTAACGGGGAACAAAATTTATTTGTGGGTACTGCCGCTAGATGTCGTGTTATCAAGCCGTCCCTAATATCGATTATGTGTTTCCGCTGGCGTCCGATTGTTTACATCCGCGCTTCGATCGATTCGGAGTTGGCCCCAAAGGAGTCTCCTTCCTTAAGAGTGGCAGATCCATAGTAATCCGTGGTATAACCTATATATAACTTTAGACTTTGTTGAATGTTGAATAGGTACACGTGTTATGTTTTTTAAGAAGAATTTAGACTTAAATATTTAATATTTTCTATAGAAACATTGTGTATGAGATAACATATTACTGACACAAAATGCAACACGACGACGTGAGTATTTTATAACTTACTTATTATAGTATTGACATTTATTCTAACCCAAAATTCTTTCAGGTTGTGTGGAGCGTTATCAACAAGTCTTTTTGTTCCTTCAAAGTAAAGTATGTACAGTTTAAGAAATTATTAACGGTTTCATTCAACAGGTTTTTTATCTTGTATTTTATTTTTACAGCACCAAAACTCAAAGGTTTTGTCGCAATGAATATAATCTTACGGGTTTATGCAGTAGAGCATCCTGTCCCCTTGCAAACAGTCAGTATGCTACAGTTAGGGAAGAAAATGGTATTATTTACCTATATATGAGAACTGCAGAAAGGTGAAAATTTAATTTCAGATTATAAAAATAGTTCTATCAATATTTTGATGAGTATATTATTGTTATTTGTATGTGTATTCTATAATACACAAATAATGTGAACAAATACAACAAAATTCTACTTTAACTTAATAATTTTATTTTACTTTTGAAATAGTTAAAAAAAATAATTAAAATGAACAAAATTTTCATGATTATCACATGCTCTTATGTCTCTGATAATGATCTAATTAATGATAGCTGTAAACACAGCAGTGGGTCTTTTCATAGATAACACTAGACTTGAAATGAAATAATAAGTGATTAATAGAATGATATCATAAAATAAACTTAAGTTTTACATCAATTTTATAGCCAGTCATAAAATTTTACTGTACCTCATATTTACCAGTTATAAAGGTGTTAGCCATAGATAAAATTTCTAGTTAACTTCTATCTTTGCAAAGTAGACTCAGAATGTAAGTTTATATAAATATAAATCAGTTTACTGTCAAGTTTGTTTCAACAATCTAGTCATATAATATTCAGTAGAAATGTTCTTTTTACAGAGTGCATTTTCCAAAAAATGCATGGGAAAAAGTTAAACTCTCTAGAAACTTTGAGAAAGCTATAACTCAAATCAATGAGAATTTGTTATATTGGCCAAGTTTTGTAAAGGCAAAATGTAAACAAAGATTTGTTAAAATTACACAATACCTCATACGTATGAGGAAATTGAGGTTAAGAAGGCAAAAACAAATTGTACCAATCCAAAGGAAAATTGAAAGGAGAGAAAGGCGTAGAGAAGAGAAGGCTCTAATTGCTGCTAGATTAGAAACAGCAATAGAGAAACAACTTATGGAACGATTGAAGCAAGGCATGGTATGTATTTTGAGTGTAACACTGTGTGCTTACATTAATTGTCGATTTTCTATACACATTCATAGAATATTTTTTCTTTCAGTATAATGACATTTACAATTTCCCACAAAAAGTGTTTGACAAAGCTGTGGAAGCTGTTGAAGTTGAAGGTGAAAGTGAAGCTGAAAGTGAAGAAGAAAAAGAGAAAGAAATTGAAAAAGAGGTAGAAATGGAATTAGAAGCAGATGAAAGGGAAAGATGATTTTGATGTTGAAGAACTATCTGTGGTAACTTTTATATATGTAGAAATTTGTGATTTTAATTCTTATGTACATTTTATACATGCATTTGTATATATTCTTACAAATTTCTATAACTTGATATTTTTGTTTCGAAAGGATGAAGATAGTGATTCAGGTCACAAAGAAAAAGTTGTACTACCTAGTGACTTTGAATCTGAAACAAGTGATATTGAGGTAGTAAATTAAGAACCTATATTTATGTTAGCTAAATATATAACTGTGTCTAAAATTGATTTGTTATTGCAGGATATAGTAGCACTATCTGCAAATAAAAAAGCGAAATGGTTAAATGTCCCTAAAAAAGGCAAAGTACAAAAGAAAGCCCGACCGAAAGTGGAAATTGAGTACGAAATTGAAAACGAACCACGTCAAAGAGAACGAGCATGATCATTTTTCAATTAGAACAATTAGAATTGTATTTTCAATAAAGTGTAATTTATATAATATTAAAGTTCATTTTATTGTAAGGAAAACCATTAAATTTGTTTAAACAGCTTAACACAGCTACCGTTGAGGTTCGTCGGTGAAACAACGTATTGACACCGATAAGGTAACTGTGGTATTTGTTAGTGAATATGAGAGAATTTAAATTTTGCGCCCAATCAGAGTAGGTACGTGAAAAGCGTATATACAAATCATAGATGGCATCTCTTTCAACGAAAATTGTGCGGACTAGCAGACGACATGTTTGTACACAAGAAATAAGGTAAATTTTTCGACTTTTCTCATGAAGATTATAAATGCACATGAACGAATTGTACACTGCCATACCTACAGTAATTTAAATAAATTAAGATTGATTCTAAATTTTGACATTTCACAAAACCTTCGTCATAAATACAGCATCGCGAGATTACTTATTCGTACATTCTATATGCTGTTTATCTTTTACGTACTCACTGGTACTCACTTGTATGCAGCCTGGGCAGACGTATCATCTGAACTGCTGCGACATTTGAATAACATTCGCACTGATCATGAAATAAATTAACAATTACACTATTGAATACATATCTAATGCATTATGCAAGTATATTTATTGAAATAGAACAATTTCTTTGCATGTCATAAAGTATGTAAAAAAGAATGGGCCCACAATAACTTCCCGCCTGTCGAATACATTAACGAAGTTTTTGTATTCAAATTTCTATTGCATAAACAAAATTCAGCTACTTTACGTTGTGAATTCCGGATGGAAGTATTGAGTGTCAATAAATTGTCTACAGCCAAATGTCATGAACTCCGCGTTACCCATGATAGTGCCTTTTGTTTGCTATAAATAGGAAAAGTAGGTTATCCGTAAAATCAATTCTGAAAATAGGGCAGTTAACTGAACATGTTAATTGTTTTGAATATATAACTTTGAGCCAAGGATTCTGTTTATCCTAATTTTTGTCAATTTTTTAAAAGTATTCTTCTCGTTATTCATTTACATACCCGTATGTAACTTTCGTAAGTTAACATATTTATATACTTTAACTGAATTGTAAAGGTAACATTTAATTGTAGTAAAATCATATACATATTTTGATTCGACAGTGTTTATATAGTCAAAGACACCATGCGTTACCATCAGCGTGAATAAATAATTAACGAAGTATATTACATTTTTCACATCATTAGTTGAATATAACAATAATCTGTACGTTATTTACATAAAATGGTATTACTCTCCAATAATACGTTTACAACACAGTGAATACCAAATCACTTAAATCAGATAAATTATCCCACCCAAATTTATTTTAATTATATATTTTCTTGCGTAATGTATGATAAAATAATGAAACTGCACATTTCATAAATTTTTTATTTTCTTGTAAAATAATAAAACCCATAATGCAAGTAATAAATGTCTCTACTTAATTCTCATTTTTTAAAACATAATATATGAAAATGTTGATTTAATAAATCTCTATAATGATAGGTATGTACACACTTGCTATTGAATAAACACATTTTATTCTTTAATTAGATGTAGATTTTTGTGTTAATTAACATTGATAAAACTCGTACACATGCAAAGGACATTAGCAGATTTGACTTGTTCTAAAACTTTTAATCATATTGTAAATACATTTTGCATAGGATGTTATTTTAAGACTAAAGTGTGCTTTATATTTTTTAATGGCAACATACAAGTTTCTGGTGAATGTTTTTTATATTAGTACATATTTTATTAATTTTTTATTTTATATACATATATATATATATTGATAACTAATTTTTATTACAGGTGTCATACAATTTGAAAAGGTTTTAGAAACTTTTAGTCATATCTAAAATAAGACACTATTATGGTTTTAACATAGCCAAAAGCTATTGAGCTCTCTTTTTATTTTGTTCATAAATGCCAAAATAATAAATAATATCACTATGGAGTTGAATAACGTGGGAAGCAACAAAAGCTCAATATATATGGCAATATCGTTTAAAAAATTATGTTTGGCAACAGTGTCGTTACCACTTGCTACTCTGTTAGTCTGTTTTATTACAGGATATATCTTCCAACAAGATGACATTCATGAGACACATTGTAGGGTGAGATTACTTATACATTTTCATATGTACTTTAAAAACTGATGACAATTAATTATTACTAATCTTTGTATGATGTATACTAAGAATAAATGTTTCAAATGTAGGTCTACAATGTACTTCCATCAATCTCAGCCATTACTGGTATTTCTCCTCAAAGATATTTGTGGCGTATAAGTATAGCATTACACATTGGTCCTCGCCTAATAATTGCCAGTGTTTACCACTCGTATTATTATAATATACTCAAAGAAATTGAGGATATACCTTTAAGAATTAAAGGAAGTAGACTTTTAAATTTATGTTACTGGCTGAATATTGGAGAAGTAGCAGCCTTATGTGGTGTTACATATATTTCCAACAGAGAAAATTATTGTAAGTAAATAAAGATGTTAAATAATTGCATAATTACTGAATCTGCATTATCAGTCACTTGAAATCCATATATTTCTTTATGAAATACTCTTAATAGTGGTACTCTACAGAGTCTATATACGAGTAACAATAATAATATTGACTAATAAGTAATCTTTATCAACTGAAATAAAACATGATATTATTTTATATTAGTTTCTCAGGTCTCCTCGTTACTGTACATATATTACTTAGTTCATCAATAAATTCATAGCAAGTACCCAAAAGTCTGTTACATTGGATAATAATAAAGTTATATGATTTAAAAAAAAAAGTAAGAGCATGTTTTTCTTCATATTTTTGTACATTTATTGACATGATATAATATGCTGAAAAATTATTGGAGTGCTTCCATATTTTACTAAAGCTTGTCATAAGAGGTAGCATTGTAGGCATCACTAATTTCAAAAAGGTATCCCTACTTACTGTCTTACATAGTGGTGTTCAACAAAATTTTTGTTATAAATATAATCAGTTCTTCGATAGAAGTTGAAAAATTCTGCTGAGACATTAGAAATGTCAATCTAGCTAGTTAAAAAAAAGTATTGTATATTATGTGATCCCCACGGTGCTGTTTTTCACTGTAGTAGTCAATAATAATATATTGTTTATTTCTGATAAGGAATTTCGTGCATATTTTATATTTGCAATTGTAAAATACATTTATAAAATATAACTAAGTAAATTATTTTTACAGCGGTGCATGAAAAAATCTTCATTGCCTTTATGATTAGTTCTCTAACATATATGCTAACAGCAGTGAGGCTGGGTCGTCTTATAACACCAAATGCACCAAGTCTTCAATACAAACAGGCACTTTTTGTAACAAGTCTTATTAGTACTATTGGACTTATTGTGTTTTTCTTAAAACACAGATTACTCTGCCATGATCTGGGTAAGAAAATTCACACATCTATAATGGAATCAGTAAATCATAATATATTAATATAATATATAAAATCGAGAATATATTAAATACATATAAAGAACACAATGAAATTACAGTTTTACTTAAATACAAATCAAATGTTAGCTAAGTAACAATCATATTACGTAAATAAATAAATTTGGATTATATATATTTAGTTTTGAAAGTACTACATATGAAACTTACTATAATATTTTTTCTAACAGCATTTAGTTGGTTTTCCTTATGTGAATATGTGATTGCCTCCGCAAACATGGGTTTTCATGTTACCGTAATTCTAGACTTTCCCAAGGAGCAGCTGATTGTTGGGAATGATTTACCTGCTTTAAAGGTGGATTAACTCTGCATAATGTTTTATATTTATGATTATCCGATTATTGTCATCAAAGTGCCTACTGCCACTGTCTGGAAGTGCTATTGCCAACAATTAAGAGTACATACATAATATTATACAAAGCTGAGTATCCACTGGTAAAAACTGGTGAACATTTTTTAGCAAAACATCTTCATAGGCGGAAAAGAATAAGCGATGGTAATTTCAGAATTACTGTGAGTTCAGAAATTTAATTTTTATTAGTTGTTAATTTAAAAAATTTCTGTTTCCATGTTAAATTGTTTTGAAATATTTGTGTGAGTATAAAGAGGGGCTATTTGGTAGTTGTTAATAATTTCTGATTGTCTTTTACTAGATTTGGATATTTATTCTTAAGCTGGCAGTAATACACAACAAATTTTTATTCAACTTGATCTTAAACTTCGTTCATATTTGCTACGTTTATTACAGTCGAAAAGTATTGGAACTAGGATAATCTATTTGTATGCCTACCATAAATGTTTACGATATTTAACTGTTTTACTGAAATGATAAAATATTAATACGTGCTCAGAAATGTTTTACATATATATTGAGTGGATACACAGGATGATGCATCAAAATTTCTCCAATTATCTTACTTGTGTTAGACCAAAGTAATCTTAGCTTGACTTTATATTTTAGAATATGCTACAAAAATTGTCTGTTTCATGCTTTGAATTTTGTTGCTAGTAATTTTCAATTGAAAACAAGTATCTTCCATTTATTTTCAATATACAAAGGCACAAATAAAGTAATAAAGTAAAGAATCTAGCGCTTCCAAAGTATGGCACTGGTATCTTCCCAGACAATGAAATCTTTAATGGCCTTTTAGGTAGTGAAAACTTGTAGTGATACTAGACAATTATGTATCCTACATACAAACAATATAACATATTATAAAGTCCAAAGTAATGAGATTCCATGTTTAGTTTGTAAACATAGTTTATTTGAAAGAGGAAAAAAGAATAGGTACTAGTATGAAAGAAGAGATTGTGGCATGAGCTGACTTATAAATAATTTTAAACTTGCTTCTTCAGAGTTTTTTGGGAAGTGAGAATTCTAGTCGGTAATTAAATCTAGTCGTCGTGTTTTTGATCTGTTTTAAAACCTTTTTGCGTGACATCATAAATTTTAATGCATTGTTAGCATGTAGGATGCATTTACATTAACGTGATTTTCGTCTTTAATGAGGGTAACACGTTCATAAAATAAGTGTACGCAATCTTAATTTAAGATATAATAGAAATATTGTACAACGTTGTACAGCTGTATGTATCATGAATATATTTTGGCGCGTGTAAGCATACACAACTCATACATTATGTAAAATACTCGCATGATACAACCAAACAGGAACAGGTTATTTGATAATACTCATATAAAATCAATCATTGCACTATTGTGTTATAGATGTAAAAATAAATGTTTATGTTTGTATGTAATGTACAAGCTTTAAGTGCATCACGATAATTATTAAATAATTGGCAGTTATACAATTACAAAGTTAATAGAAAAAGATATAAACAGAAAGTGAAATCAACAATTATCTTGTATAATGTATTCCCGACCAAAACTTGAATAACGTCCAAAATTATTAAACAACTTTATGAAATTCGAATAACTATTTGTACCAAATTTTGTAATCGAAAACCATATTTTCCCTTTCAAGATTTCATACTAATATTTTACACAGAGCATTATGTGAAAAATATTTGTGATAAAGCACGTTGTTGTAGTTGGCCAAATCAGTTTTATAAATTCATATAAATACTACTAATTCTTAAAAACGTTAGGTGAATATATCATCATTTACAAAGTATTATGAATAATATATTACAGAATCATTTACATTTATTTTTCATACATTTTGTTTTGAATGTCGATGTTGATAAAGCGATTTTGAATAACGTTTACTTGTCATTACCGCACATTTTTACATGCAAATATCATTTATATTATACTTCGCTATTTGAATTATTCTTTTCATCTTTTCTTAAATTTCATTAGAAAATCATCTCCACAATTGACATGTTTCTGCATAGGCTTGTAATGTACAACTGAGTGACAACGTTTTCTTCTATGATGTCTATAACGTTATTTTTCTGACTATGTTTCTTAAGTTATAAGCAGCTAAATTTTCTAAGCATTGAGAATAATCCTAAATGTGAAATCACTTATGCAACATATCTTAATAATTTGTTTTATAATACGAATAACTACATATTTTATACTCGTTTCTCACGATAATGGAAAAATAATTGTGGATTATTGCAGTTAGTTCTTCAATACAATTATCAGACATTAAAGTCCGTGCCAAGTGATGTATTAAAGATGTGTATCTGTTATATTGGCTTTGAATCTAGTATTTTATAGATCTTAACTAATCTACAAAACATCTGTAAATTATCATTTATTTCTCATTGTGTAACGACATATATTATTTATTTCAAATGGTAATCACACTGTTTTAGTTTTAATTACCCTTTGAAAATCAACTGAATTTGAATATGTATCTGTAGTTTGCTTATAATAGACATAGATAAGATATGCATACTAATTGAAAAAGTATCCTAGAAGTGTAGTAGTTGTAAACTGTTGAAAACAGTTTGAAAAAATAATTTATTATACTCTATATAAGTAGTGCATTTAAAGAACATTGTTAATCACTATTATTTATTATATCTCGGTATCCGACTTTATAGTAAGGGGTACACTTATTATTTAGTATTACTGCGATGCTTTGATGAGATTAATACCACCTTAAGAGACAAAGAATCTTAATAGGGTTTATGTAAAATATCACATTAGATTCTATGTATTATTTAGATCTCTGTTTGAGATGGTTCATCTAAAGCCATTTTTTCCCATGAAGTATATATTTATATGTTAACATTACAATGGGTTTTCTCCTGTAGATAGGCAGTTTATTCTGTATTCTTAGTGAAACAAAATCTAGTTTAGTACAATTGAAGGTGATAAGATTATAATTGAAAAACTGTAGGTTTTAATAGTTAAAATATTGCTTCCTTGTTCTTAGTCCAAGTAACACATGTAAAAGAGTCGAAATACTTGATTATTCAATTTAGCCAAATTAATACTAATACACAATGTGTACACTTGAGGAATGGTTTTCAAGCCTTATAATATTCCTCGGACAGTCCTCTCTAGTATACACTGCTTCAATAATTCTAGTTGAAAATTATTAATACAATATACACATGGTTTACAAGTGATTCTTACCGTTTATAACTAGGGTATATGTAGTCCAAATGATACAAAACATTAGAATACTGAATATAAATAAATCTACAGATTTGTACAGTATGTAGACAATACAATTGTATACAGTGTTTTAAACAGCTGATGATATCAATGATTTGTAGGTATTTGATAAAAGTTTATTTTTTATTAGAACTCATTAATCTACATATTCAATTTAAACTTATTACATCCAATCAGGTTTTTCATATTATTGCTACTAGCTTTATGCCATAATAAAAAGTCTTTCAAAGGTTATTTAGAACATTGCATTCTAATCTTATGAATTAATTCTTATATTAATAGTTTCACTGCTTTTTCACATTCTTTCAGTGACAAACTTATTAGAATGTATTTATTAAATTTTTTGTTAATTAGGTACATAGTAAGTTACAGTTTGTATTTTTTATAAGTCATATTCTTATATGTTGGAAATCTTTGGAGCTAAATGTACTTACTCAAATGGTTGGGAAGCAGTGCTTGTGGATGTACAATTACCATAAATTATAAATATCAACGCACATATTCCTTCGTGAGATTTTGACTCCAGGTATTCCAGTAATCTACTGTATTACAGCCTTCCTATTTTATACAGTTATAATACACAGTTTCATTACTTAAGTAAAATTGGAACTGTAATACTATTGTGTTAAAGAAATCTTTAGACATGTAAAATATTACATTTTAAATTTTTACTCATATACAAGAATTCCATAATAGGTATATTATAAAAAAATTGTGACAATGCATTTGTTTACTTAATACTTTGAATGTTTTTTTTCTTCCGTGATATTACAATAAAGTAGCCGGATCCTTTACAATGGTCAACTTTCATGATAAGTTTAATTAAGTTCATAAAATTTATTAATCTTAAACCAAGAACCTGAAAACTCGGTGAAATATTTTCATATCTTGCCTTTCATTAAACAAATAAGTTTTAGCCCTATACAAATTTTTATTAACATTGGTCCAATATTTATCTAGAAAAGAATAATGTCATGACAACGCGCAGTACATAACATAATAAAATTGTGAGAAAGAACTAAATTTTTTTAATTTGCAATTCTTAATTTTTTAACTGAATATATTTATTCATGTGCTATTTCTAATAGAAAATAACGTGGTTAATAAAAAGGCAAGGTCCCTAATAGGGATATTTTATATTAATTTATAATATTAAGACATCATGTAAGTTGTTAAACTTACATTATAGTTGTGCAATATTTCTCAGATTTGAATTTAGAACAATATATTATAATTCAATGTGTTCATCATTCATATGCTTGATCTAAGTAATATTTTAAGGTAGTTTCTGCGTTTGGTATCGTATCCAGCTATGGCTCCATATGGCGTTTTGTACTTTTTATCAATCTTACGAATTAAATTTGAATGATTAATATTTTAAACTACTTCAAAATATTTAAATGAAAACAAAATTTTCAAATAAGTGGGAGAAACAAAAATTGTTTTCCTTATTGTAAAAAATTATAATTTTTTTCATTTTCAAGAAAAAAGTGGAAAGTTCGTTGAAAAAACTAAAGGAAAACAAGTGACGTTGCTGCTCATAGCGGACATGCGTAGAAGATACTACCAAACGCATTGAAACCTATTAAGTTTCCATACTTTCATCTTAATTTTTAGTTTCATTTGATCGTTAACATATCCTTTTTTCCGTGCCATTATAATCTCCGTAAAAAAATGTATAACCACCTAATTTTTTATGAAAATATAATTTTTTGTAGCTAAATAAGTAAGGCTCGTGTTAAAAATAAATTTTTATATCGTTTCTTTTTCAATAATTTTATTGTTGATCTTGCAATTTTTGGTAGCAATCGAAACTTGAAGCTTTCACGAATGTTTTGTTAAATTTTCAACTAAATTTATAATTATTAAAAATTTGCGGAAGCCACCTTAAACAGATATCTGCAGGCAATGTTACGTCGAAAATTCACGGGTG